ACAAATAACGAGAAATGCCACAACCAACCTAAACATGAAGTGTAAGCAGGCAGGCAGAATGGGCTTGGCGTTATTGCAATAATACAGATTTGTTTGTGCAGAACAAAAAATTGGAATGTTTTAAATTTATGTCACTTAATCACGTGAAGCCAAAATTACCTGCTTCCTACTTGCAGACCCACCCCAAACCCCAGTTGAACCCATTTTGAAATAAAACTCAACACTTGAAACACACCTCTTATTAATATATACTAATTCAAAATCATGTTAAATTGGATCTATCACATGTTATATCAATACAGAAAAAATACGATCTCATTGATTCCTGAAAATGTTCATAACGGACCTTTTGCCCATTTCGAGAGGGTGCCTCGCAAACTTGTTGGTTTCTAGGGAATTGGGGACTAGATTGAGTTGGTTTACGTTCATCAATTTATTATAATCTAAGCCATCCCAGAATCCTCAGTCTAACGAACCCTTGGACTGTCCAGCTGCTACCCGTGGAACAGGCAAATTGGGAACCCTGCCCACTCTACCTCAATCAGAAGCTGTAACTGGTAAATTGTAGCATTCACATGGTAGCCCGGCAAATTATTGTCAGTTGCTAAAACACACAATATCTACTGCAACAAAATAATGTTCAATGTTATCGACATAGATCTGGTTTTGGAACTAAATGCATGTCGGGTATAACAACCACCGCACTCTACGTGTATGCTATTTATTTGTGATAGATCCGAATATAGTACGTGTGGCAGTCCGGTTGAGTTAGTCGGACAGATATAAGTGCGCCCTCGTGAGTTAGCTTAGACACATTCTAAAAATAGCAGTACCGCCATTTTTGTTTACCGTTAGTTGTTATGAAAACCAGTTCAAATTCCGTGTCTGAAGATGTAATTTAACTTGCAAAATCTGGTTCAGTCGTTTTCAGAATGGTTTTGCTAAGAAGTAAGATACTTTTATTATTGAATTTGTGTTATTATCAAATTATGTTTAAATTGTAATTCCGTCGGTAATACCGTTCTCTTGACTGTTATACACAGAACTATAGACAGCCAAACTGCTGGTGTAAAGTCCACAATGCAGACTCTAATCATTATTTCTGATCAGTTTTAGATCAGTTTTTTACATGTATCCTAGATTGGAGAA